AGAGTAGGAGATACTCAACTACTGTGGACAAAGACAGTGATTGCTTAGCAAATACCCTCAACTTGCAATAAGAAGGTTTTCTTGTGCAGCCATCTCTGGAAGTAGAACCTGGTATTTGAGTGCCAAACAGGATGAGGTTTTTGAAGCATGTGCATATTTCTTTTTCTTGCAGTGTCTCAAATAATACAGGTGTATCTGGGGAAAATTGTCGTCAATGCTGTATCTGTGTTGAATTGTTAGCAGTGTTTAAAGCCCGAATAGTTCCAGGTTTGTTTCTGTTAGTCTGGTCAAGTGATGGACTTCTAAATGCACATATAGACATCAAATTAGATGTTATGGGTTTTGTTTTTGTTTTTTTACGTGGGTGCTGTCTGGAATAAGCTGCAGTTTAGGAGAGCATTGCTATCTTCTTCTGTCTGAGGGTTGTTGAGTAGAGACACCTGTTCTTAGTTTTACTGTTGTTTTGTCACAATCCAGCAGGTTAGATGATAACTACATGTATCTGTTTCACTTGAGTGCAGTGTCTCTTGTGCCACCTTGTACAGTAAGCTGCAGATTTAACACTTTAACTAAAATCCCACTACTATTAATACCGTTAAGTCTTCCTTTTTTATCTGTGTGTTTCTTTTTGTGGATTTACCTACTGATCTTTTCTCTTCCCATCAGATTACATGGGACCTACAGGGGGATTCTTATGCCTGTATATGATCAGGTGTTTCTGATGAGTCAGCTTTTCAAGTTTTTCTTCTACTCACTTGGCAAAGCTGAAAAAAAGCTTGTAGTAAACATGGATTAGAGGCAAATGTCAAATTTAGGATGGGTAAGATGAGCAAGTGCTCTGCTGAACAGCATTCATTAGAAACTGCTGTAAACATTTAGACACAGGAGTGTCTCAGGTTTTGCCCTTCTCTTCCAGTTCATACTCTGTCAGCAGGAGTGTATTTGCCTACCCACTCGTTCTACCAGGTGAAACTCATCTAATACTGGAGAACAAGTTATACATTAGTAAGTGTTCTTACAACTCACAGTCGTTGGGGCCTAGTGCCTGACTGGAGATGCTGAAGCACAGAGTGGTTTTAGGTAGTAGAAACTTCTTAAGCAGTTTACAAAATCCACCTGTGTTATTGAGAAGAATAAATCTAATAATTTTCTAACTCTTTAAAAAAAAAAAAGTTTTTCCAAACTGTGCTACTCCATAATTTGTGTTAATCCGCAAACTAAAAAAAACTCCCCTTTACTTTGAGCCAGTGAGGAGGGTAGCAGGAATGGTCGTGGCAGTCTGATGGCAGTTTGTAAGAACACTTCTGCTAAGCTGGAGCTGGTGGCTGGCTGTTAATGGTTTGCCAGGACTTGGAGCACAAAGCAGCTGTCTCTTCCACAGTATTTCTAGTAGTGTGTTAAATAAGCAAGGCCAGAAATGTATTTCTAAGTAAAATACACTGTCATTGATGCTGGTGAGAGAACAGCTGGCATGCTTCTTAGAAGTTGCTTATTTATACAGGGTGCATAGTTATTGGATTGTCTCTCTTCTTTGTTTACCTACAAGCTATGTTTACTGACAGTTTTTCATAAACAGATTTTTGTCAAGCCTTACAGTGTTTATCTTGAGGTTCAAGTGAACTAGATAAATCAGTGTAGTTCCTGGATCATGCTTTCATTTAGTAGTTCAGTTCAAACTCGGTGGATCTTGTGGCTACTGAGCAAGGTCTGGTTCCTCAACATTTGGGACTTTTACTTTCACTCCTTCAATTCCAGATGCTTCCTCTATTACATGGGGCTTTTTGAGGGCTGGGAGAATGCAGTGTTGCATTTTGACAGAAGTAGAAATTGTGGATTTTGCAAAGACTTGTTTGTGAGCATTACAGAACCACATAGCACTATAAATCCTCTGCTTTCTTCATTTGTAAGAAGCAATTTGAGATCTTGAAGATAGGGGCAGAGAAGAATTTAAATCTGAACTATCAATAGTTAGTAGAAAACATTCAAAAATATTCTCAGGTTTAGTTGAGACATCTTAAACAGTGTAAAGAAAAAAAAAACATCACCACAACAGTAAGAAACTGCCAAGAGTGCTGATTATTTGAAATTACTTGAATGGCAGAATGTGGTGCAGGTAAAGAGTGCCCAGTTTGTAAAGGAAGGCAGTTGGTCTGCTGCTTCCTTATGATGCATGTAAAAATAGTGCTAGCTGCTGTTATATCAGCTGGTTATCACTGAACGACGCTTGCTGCAGCAGACTTAAAAAGAACAGGTATTCAGTAGCTGTATGTCTGCCCTCTTTCCTAGTAATCTAGTAATCCGTTGCTGAATAAAGTATTTCTAACCCATCCACGGGCAATGCAGTCTGACAGAAGTGCTGTTGCAGTCAGGCATCCCTTGTGGTGATTTGGGGGTGGTGCAGGGGAGCGGGCAGGACACAAGCTCCCGCTCAGTGTTAATCTTCAACTTTGGAAAATTTTTCCAGTGCAAGGTAGCTGTGGAGCCAGTAGCATTAAAGGCTCCAAATTCCAAGCCCTGGTGAAGAATGCAGGCCAAGTTTTTCCTTCCTCCTTTCTTTTTCCTTCCATAGTATTTATCTCATTGATATAAACCATACCATGTGCTTTCTCTTGCTATTACTCTTGCTTGAAAACAAGTCCTCATGTAACCTGTCTAAAATCAATGCAGAAAGATCTATAAAGGGAGTAGGCTCAAGGGGATCAGAAACAGAGAGGTTGCAAGAAAGGAAATAAACTCTAAAGCCAACTTCCTACATTGCCTGCATAGGCACATTACCGTATAGCAGTGTGTCCTGCTGCACTGCGGGAAACACAGTAACTTACTGTCTGTCTTGAAGATGCTCAAGCTGTAAAACTCCATGCCAAGTTGTTTTCAGGGCTGGCTAACCTGTGGTTCTCATGTGGTATTCATGTCATGAACCTTGACGTGTTACAGGCTCCTCCTGCTTCCAGCACTGGCTAAAATAAATATTAGCACATCTAGTCTGTCTCTTCCTGCAACTCTTAGTTTAAAAAGTATATGTGTAGCTTACCATTAGAAGAGTAAGCAAGTGAATTGCTTATTCAGAGATGTTTTAAACATGCTACTCTTAAAGGCTGTATCAGTGCGTTACTGCATGTGTACGGCACACGCTGTGTGTGGAAGATGTAATGGAAGACTGCCTTCCATCTTCCTCTGAGAACACTTTTTACAGATTGACGAAGCAACCTGATTTCTTTCCTCAGTTAAAACTTGGAAGAGAGTAGACTTCAGTCTAATGTTGGAGTTAGGGGTGGGACAAGATGCCTTTAGGCTTAGTAATAGTGACCTCTAGGTCACTAGGTTTAAATGGAGCATTAAGTGAACATCATCAAACATTATCCTACTTTGGAGCTGTTTGGTATTGTCAGTTCAATTCATACAAATTACAGATTAGGTTTTTGGGATGCAGTGCTGTGCTAACAACTACCATTATTTCTAGTATTCTCTGCAGCAGAAGAGAGTCAACAGACTAAAAACTACCTTCCTGTGAAACTTTATAGGAGATCTTGAGTCTTAGCTATTATTCCTAATTTGTACTGAGCTCTCCTTTGCATTTTGGAAGGTATTATTTAAAAAATACTCTTGAACAAATGTTACAGCTTTTTTAAGGTTTTGGGGGTGTTTGAGCACCTCATGATACAAGAAAATAGCTGATAACTGTCTTGTCAAACTCAAACACCAGCTCTAGTTGTTGCACCAGAGAAGAGAATGGTGGGCCCTTTGACTTCAGTGTGGATTTTATTTGTGTGTTAGTGGATTTCAGACTGAGTTGTTAGTAGCATTAATTAACATGCTAATTTAAATCTGGATTTTTTTTTGTTTGTTTGTTTTCAAGGGTGTATATAGTGTCATGGTCATAGTTTTAAGAAGGGTATTTGGCAAGCTTAAGAATACTGACTTCAGGAAGGATTCAAGGGAAGTGCTTTTTATAATGGTATTGTCAAGGAATATGTCATAGTTTTAAGAAGGGTATTTGGCAAGCTTAAGAATACTGACTTCAGGAAGGATTCAAGGGAAGCGCTTTTTATAATGGTATTGTCAAGGAATTTGGGGTTGTCTTTGGAATCGGAGTTTGTGGATTTGATATTTTTCCCCCAGAGGCTGTATGTGATCATAGTTAAACAGATAGGAATGTAGATATTAATAAACCAGTTAAGAACAGGCACCAGAAGAATCCTCTGAGCAGAACTGCTAAAAGGCACTGTGTTCTTGGCTATGTTCTGCTCTAGCAGAATGGGAGTAACTCCACTCTCAGTGCAAGTCACGTATGGCTTGCCGTGGCTTGCTCACAAAAATGAGTGGCAGATGGAAGCAAAATCTGCACATTTTCACCTGCTTAGCCATTTAAAGCTCTTTTGTCTTCCTAGGTTGTACTCTACAGTATTCTGTACTCAGAATCTAGTTTGTCTTGCTGTAACGGGCAGAACTCGGGAAACACTCAGAATCATTGCTTTCATGGTACAATGCCCAAAATACAAATGGAGTTTTGAAGATGTCTTCATAACCATTTTAATTTTACTAAACTGCCACACCACAGTTCTTAATCAGGTTTTACATGTAGTCCTGTGTGCACAGCGCACAAATCTTTTCTACCCTTAAGGACTTTTGGCACCTTGTTTGTGGTCAGGAGCATACTAAACATTCAAAAGAAGTTAAAATTTACCATAAGAAGTTAAACATTTCAGATACTGAGCTACTTTCCAGAACTGATTTGAACAGCGTGTACTGAAGACTGTGCACCTTCACTACTTTGGGAAACTTTATTTTTGTCTGTTTAAATTTTCACTCCATGTTGTGGGGTTAACAAACTGACTTAACAGTTTCCTTGCCTTCAAGGGCAAATAACTGTAGCATTGTCATGCATGCTCCGGTTGTTTCTTCACCTTTTGCAATTTGACTGTGAGTATAATGTTAATTATATGTGAACGTATCCTTCGGTTTCTTTGCAGTCAATGTGATGATCCTATTTCTTTTTTCAGATGTGGAGGTACTGTTGGTGCAATTCTGACATGTCCACTGGAAGTTGTGAAAACACGATTGCAGTCCTCCTCTGTGACTCTCTACATCTCTGAAGTTCATCTCAACACTGTGAATGGTGCTAGCGTCAATCGAGTAACTAGAGTTTCTCCTGGACCTCTCCATTGTCTGAAGTGAGTATACAAGTTACTAGGGTTTTCGGTTCATTTTGGGGAGGGAGGGAGGGAGGGAGGGAGGGAGAGGTGTGTTGGACAAATCCATATGAAAGATTCAGACTCTTATGTCTGTCATGACGCTACCATGAGATGACTTCCCATATTTTACCTTTTAACTGTAAGGTTCGCATTCCACTTTCCTGAGTGTCCTTCATGTTTTAGTTTGTACGTTGAATTAGCCAGAGCATATATACCCTGTACAATTCATAGCTCCAAACTCTGTCACCAAAACTCACTGGGAAAACTGTAATGCTTAATGGTCAGACTGTAGTTTCATCCTGAAAAAGTGTTAGTATAAGACTTTTTAAACTGTTTTGTGTCCAAATTTTAGATTTTGCTGAATATGGAGGGCAAGAAGCCCTATGAAAATTAACTCAGCTTCTCAGTCTCTCAACTTTCATCACGCTATACCCTTCCTTGCCTTTTGGTATCTTCTGGTGGGTGTGTAACTGGTAACACTTTTTTTTAGAGGTAATAAGAGATTTTGGCCAGATTTTGCCGTGATCTGTGACATTTTGTTTGCACAGCACCTCACTGAAAGGGGACTGCCAATTGCCTTTCTGCTCCTTGCCACCAGTGCTTGTGATGTTCCATAGCCGGCAGGAAAGTTGTATGGCCACAGTTAAACTGCTAGTACAGGCATGGTTCGGTTCGCTTCACTCTGGGGGACTCAAGCTAGCCAGTTATGGGGAGGTACTTTCAGTATTTGTCTGTTGTGGGAGTTTTCCTCCAGAAAGGACCTGCTACTGCTTCTTATGTTAGAAAGAATTTGGTGAGACTCAGACCAGCTATCTTCTATCCCCAATTAATCAGTGAGAAGTAGTTTGTAGAGAGCCCCTTCTGGTAGTTGCAGTGTAGGATTTAGGCTTAATCTGGGTAGAGGCTAGGATTTGCTTAAATGGAGGTTGTACCCAAATCGGTCCTTGAATGGAAGATAGTTCTGATCGTGGAAGTTTTGATTCAGAGCCTTTTTATGTATAAGAGTCTGATGGGTGAACAGGTATGTGGGAAGGAAGGGCTCAGGTCAGAAGGAGAGCTCCATCCAAATCATTTGCCCTACTGGCTTCTCTTGATGGAAGTTGAGCCCTTCACCTCTTCCCTAAATGTTTGGTTGTGAATTTATCTTCTCTTTAGAAATTTGTCTGAATCAACAGCAGGATGAACAGATGTTAGTTTCATATGCCCGTCTGCTGGAAGCCTGCTATGCTTTAAACCCATCCATGAAACCTCAAATAACACGGTCTTCCCAGGAAGCAAATTCAGACTGAGGTAGAGGTAGTCCATGATGAAATTCATTGGTAGGGCTTGTTTGTTTTTTTAAATCTGCTGCTTAGAAGTGTTTGTTTATTTGTGATACAAGAATGTGTATCTTCTGCCGCTTTTTTTCTTTGCTTAGGTGTGTTTTCTTGCAGGTCAGCATCAAATAACTGAGATGCCAAGGAACTGTTGTGGGTTTCAAGTTCTTTAAATAAAGTAAATATGAAAAAATACCAAATGACATGGCAATGGACTGTGACGATAAAAATATGTAGGTGTAGGACATAATTATTCTTAGTGTCTGCTGGTTAAGAGACCAGGACTGTTTAGTGGGGAGATCAAACTGGATCCCTGTGTCACTGTCATGCCTTTACTGTCACTTGATATTTTCTGACTCGTAGATGTCAGGGTTTGGTAGTCTTTTATCATACCAAATTTAGTGCAGTGCTCCAGTGCTCTGCACTGAATACTCAGTCTAAATGCAGGGTGAATCAGGCAAATGGTGTCAGAATTTCAGTTAACTGCCTGCTGTGGAATCACTTCTGCATCTTAAGTATCATCAGAGGTGACTTCAAAGGCATGTGTGTCAGGAAGCAAACTCAGAAGAACTGGTGCAGGTGCCTGCATTCTCTGGCAACAAAAGTGAATTCCCTTATACACCACAGATATTTAAGAATATCCTATTGCGGATGCTTCTCACAACTAACCTTGCTGAGTTTAAACCTGGGGTCTTGACAATGGAAGACTGGCCTCCCAATGCAGACTCCTCCATGTGACATAAGCTGGTCAGCTGAGGCCATACAGAGCATTTGTGCTGCTCTTCCAACCATGGATTTGCCATTTACTGCTTTCAATAAACACTGCAGGCTCTGGGATCTGCTCTTTAATGTAAAAAGTTTGTTTCTTATTTTCAATGTAGGCTCTGGAACTCCTCTAGCTGGTGTCTGTGAATGCAGAAGAGCATCAGTAACTATTACCATTATAAATCCTGCTGCAACCTCTCTCTAACTCATTGCTGCTCTGTCAAGTGTTGGGACATTGCAGATCCAGAAGAAACAAATAGACTTCACTCCTAAGTTTCTTTTAAGACACTGACGTTCCTGCTGCTTTATATACATGCATATGTTATATGTCCATATACATATGTGTAACACATGATGTGGTGGTGGTAGTGATTTTTAAGTAGTGTTCTAAGTGGATGTTAATTGGGTCCAACTTTGCTGTAATCTGATGCTGTGCTCATGCTGAGCTCTTGCATATGGTAAAATTTTTGGAATAATTCCTTCCATAAGTGTTAGAAATGCTTTCAGGATGACACACATGTCTAAGTAATTTGTGTTTCAAAGTGCTTTTGAGTATGTGTTCAATACTGCAATTATTGCTGTGAAGCAACTCTGCACACATAGTGAAATTATATCTAATTGTTGTGGACATGAAGTGAAGATGTTGCTGAACACACTATATGCCACCGTTCCTAAATCGTGATGGTAACTGTGCAGGACCGCCATTTTATTTTTGCTCGCTGGAAACAAATGTAAATTTTCAATTTGATTTAGCAGCAGAACTGTGGTGAACCAGCTGCTGGACATCAGAACAAGTTTGGAATCTCCTTCAGTGCTATAGATGGTTTTCACCTGTTTGTTCTGATAGTAAATTCCAAACAAAGTAGCCATTTATACAAGGGTAGTTTGCTTTGAGTAATTGAATTGTCATTCACCTGCATGTCTCTTTGAAAAAGAAATATACATGGGAACTATTTGTGTGTATTGGCCAGTGTTTCTAAATCAATAAGCACAGAGTTCTGTTTTGCAACATCTAGTGCAGTAGTTAAGAATTAACTTTAAATCTGGTTCTAAAGCAATTGCTAGAGCAATTTGCAGTGATGGGATGCAGATAGTCCTTGTTTCTCCTCCCATGTCCTACTACATTTTTTAAAATACTGTGTCTGATTAGCATCTAGATTGTTGGGCAGATTGACTTCACTAAATCTGACTATTAATGGATATCCTCTTACTGTGTCAGTGTACTTTGCTGCATAGTGGTTTTCAGCTTTCTAAAAACCACAGTTACATGGGATAGGTATTCCAAAAACTTAACTACTAGTAATGCCTCATTGGAGGTATTAATTCACTGCTTATATCCCTATGTTTCTCTGAAAATCCTACAGAGATGGAAGGTGATAGCCCCCTGCCACCCAAGCAAGTCTTTCCAGAGCTGTGTTTATAGTGGACGTGGTCCCACGAGATGTTAGGGCTGTACTGTGGCTGTCACTCTTTGCATTGGTTACACTCCTTGTTCAGTTAAACTCAAACTTAAGTGAGCCCAAGTTAAGCTCAAACTAGCATGAGGTGGTAAGGATTGTCTTTTCTGGAATGAGTGGAAAAGGAAAAACTGCCAGCTCTGCAGCCCAGCAGCAGTG